TTGCAACCCCACAATTTCTATTTTTAAAAAATCCCGACTATAAGCAGCTCACAATACTTAAAAAAAGCCATAAAATATATACAGGAAAATCCGTAAAAACATTCCTTTTAGATTGAGATAAAGCCAATGATTTTTCTTCCCTTTTAAAAAGAGCAACATGTCTTGTGGCATCTTGAAGCTGAACAAGCAGGAAAGCTTCCATAGGCTGTACCAAGAGTCTTAGTTAGTTGCAGCAATAAATAAAAAATAAAAACAAATCCATTGTTCCATTTTTCTGGATATTCTATACTGTATATTAAAACTGCAATGACAAAAATGTTTATGTCTCAGTAAACCAGATGGGATTACTCCTAAATAATAGTTGCATAGGACTCTGCTGTCAACCCCTCATTGCAACCTGAACTTGCTTGAGATTACCTTGATGCCAGGGGGACTTACTTTCTAGTAAACTTGCCAAAGAGTTAAAGTTTTAAAGTTCAATAATAGACTGATGCAAGGAGACAGATTTCCAAAGAAATGCATTCTACTGAGGACAACAGACAGATTATAAATGTGAAGTGGGGAGAGGAACTCTAGAAAGGTTTTTTTTTTTAGATTTTTCAGATGTAGCTTTTATATGGGTTTATATATATATTTATAAGGTTCTTTTTCCTAAAGTATTTGGCAGTCTCAATTTAATCTTCAGAAGGGTGTACTTTTTGCTTCTCAGCTATTTACCAATCATCCTTTCCTTTCTCCACTAATCAAGGCCTCCAGAATAATTCAACCACCCTTACTGATACCACAATCAAAACAGGCTTCATACTTTCTAAAGAATGACTGGTGAAGCTAGCAGACTTAATAAGAAGGGATCTACACTAGAAAATGGCTGGGGTTTTTCCTAAGTATGGAATGCTTATCGGACTAGGACAGATGGAGTTGGCTTGCTGGTCAACAGAAATTTATGGGAGTAGTTCCTTCTCACTTGCTTATTTTCAATTTATACTGCTTAAGAGTTAACCAATTTTGTCAATTGCAGCCTGGCATTCTGACCCTAAACACATATGCTTAGAATTAAGTCTCTTTGATTTCAGTGGGACTTTACTTACCTAGAACATCTTCCGTCTGGACTGTGTTCTTTTACAGCTTTGCAGGGGTACTGCTGCAAAGTATTTTTATTTCCACTAATTTGGGGTTTTAAGCTTACTTGCTAGGAAGTGAATCCTACTGGATAGGTGGGAAACCTCCCCTTTAGTGGTATTATGGAGAGGAGAAAGGCCGGTTTGCAGATGCCTGAAAACAAGCATTTCCTCTTTATCTGTGGAGATACTCAGAAACAATGATCTATGTCTGCTTCTTAATATAAGTACTTGAAAATAATAATAAGCAATAAATAACCTCTACTACTGATTGGATCAGTATACACTTAATGCAGTTTATTTAAAATGTTCATATGATAACATCTTTTTTAATTACTACACAGGAAAAAGTAAAATATTCTTATTTTTCATCTGCTGCCCAAAAGTCATCCACCAAAGTTTAAAACAAAATCCTACTTGTTTTTAGAGAGGTTGTGATGGCATCATTCTTTTCCAGCTTTGTATAGTAATTCAAAGCAGGCACTGTACAAGTGTGTGTGTGTGAATAATTAGCATTTGAACTAGGATGAAAGTTCCAAGTTTCATATATAGAATCAGTAGAAATTTTACTTTTTTAAACAACTAAACTGAAAATTGGATCTTTTGTGTTCATTTCTCCTTCTGTTTGTTATGTAAAAAAGACAACATATAACAATGTTGGAACATAAAAGCTAAACTTTGGAAATTAATAGGGCATTTTCCAATCTTTCTCATGGCCTGGTCATTAGTTTTGTGAATTTTCCAGGTTATCCTGATGAAAAAAACCTCTTTTTTTTTTTAGAAGGAACGTCTGATTAAACATTTTTGTTTATTAAAATTAATGCCAGTAGGAGCCATTATTTGGCTTTTTCGGTAGTGATCATTTCAGTGTCTGACTTTACTTACCAGGAGTTTAACTCCATTGCATTGAAAAGGACTTGTTTCCAGTAAGAATATATCAAAAAGTAGTTTTTGTCTTTTTCTGCTTTTGATCTCAGAACTGTTAAGCAGTTTCTAAATATGCCTGGGTTGAGAACACCTTCAAGTGTTCATTTCATTGAAATAAATTACAACCAAATGAAAGTTACCATCCTGCCCCTTTGCCTACTCAGAAATAAGTTTTGATTAGCTAAGTACGACTTTTTTGCCCGTCCTGTTCAACTGTGTCCCTGTCTCAGAGACTGCCTGGACAAGTCTCTGCACCTTTCTTGACAATGTTTTTCAGAAGTTGTTTACCACTGCCTCTTTCCTTGGCTGAGAGAAGATGACTGGCTCCAGTCAAAATGTTTTGGAAAGGGACAAAGTTAAGTGATTTAAAAATATATGAGGGAAGCTATCTGAATATTTTCAAGACAACCTTTAGGGAGAACAGCTAAAGTTGAGCATAAAATGCCTGTTTACTTCCAGACAAGAATGTATACAGTAGGAGTACAATATGTATAGGAGTCATCTTTAATCATGAATCCACCAAATTTATTCTTAGGCAACACATACTGTATGTCCTGATATTTTTATTAAGAGACATCTGGCAGCGATCAATTCTTTCCTTTCCTCTCTATCTTGCAATGAGACCCTCTGTGGACCTTCTAACGTCATATCAGACGGCGAGGAGCCATCCTGCTCTGGAGCTGAGTGTAATCACCATGCTATTTTCCAAACACCATCAGCTGAAGTCCAGATCACCAGCTGGAATGCGGATGCAATGAGACTTTTTCTTGTTCTGTTCTTTTCTTCATGTTCACCCAAACCCCCCATACCTTAGGTTTTACATTGCTGCAATTACATTTCACTTTTTTAAAATGCTGTTTGTATCATATTTATTTATAAAAATATTGGTGACACAGGTACAGAAGGAAAGGAACAAGGACCATCTATACTTTCTAGTACCTGTGCATTTTGTCATGAATCTGTTCTTACCTGGGCTAAATTTTCACAAATCATTCCAAACTATAATGTGATGTTCTGTGTTTTTGGTTTTGCATTACAGGAGTATAATATTTATGTTCAAAATAAATCCTATGATGAGTAAGCCATAATTATAAAAATAATTCTAGGCTAGGAACCCAAAAGCTTCTTAAACCATCCTTCCCAATGTAGTACTATTCAGACATTTTGACCACAGCTCCTATAATCTATCAGGCAGCAGCCATATTGCATGAGTTGATGGCAATTGCAGTCCTGCACATATGAAGAGCACCAAGTTAGGAAGGTTTATACTAGTCGCAACTCCAAAATAGATATAGTTGAAGCATTTTTATCTCTCTTAAGCCAAGGAGGATTCTTTAAGTGGCTGACAGATAACAAGATAGAAAAGGAATTTGGGGGAGGTAAAGACTTGGCAGACATCTCTTTTGAATGGAAACACCTAGTTTTGTTCATAGTACACTAGAGATTTAAAAAATAGCCCTAGAAATGGGACAAGTTGACAAGGAATGTCAGCATCAATCCTATTTGATAAGGTATTAAGCCTTAATGGAGTGATGTCCAGGAGTGAAAGAAAATGCATGGCTTCGGTGATGGCCTTGTTGCTGCAATGCAGAACTTCCCAATCTAAGCCTCTAATGCTACCATCTGAAGCACAGACATCATCTCTCATTCTCCATTTATTGGATTCAAATCAATGACATTTGAGTCATATTTCAACATTGGTGGCACCAATGGTGGCACCCAAAGGCAAGTGTTTAACTCTGCCAGCACAGAGTACAAATCAGGAAATGGAACTCAGTGAGATGGATGGAGATGCTTGGCCATGGCAGAATCTTCATCCATCCTGCAATTCACTCAATCTTTTGTTTTGCCAAAGTTGAGCAAAACACTTGCTACTGTTCAACACTAGCTTAAAATCAAACGCACACTCAACTATTCTTTATGGTTCTCTTTTAATAGAAACACCCCACCAAATAACAATATATTTTCTCCTAGGCTAGAACATACATATTTTTCAGGATGAAACACTGAATGAATGCCTGGGGCTGCCATCTAAAGTTAGACAAGGGACCCCTAAAGGTGCTTTTTATTTCAATTTCAGGTTTTTTAACTTAAAATACATTTGAACATGGGTTAGTTACATATCATAAAACATTATACTGCTTGAAAACCCTTTTTCCTTTATCAACATTATCTCAGAAGTTAGGTATCTAAATGCCAGCCATACTCTGAAAAGTGGTTGTATGCTTTCCATGCTACCTGGACACAGTTTCTCATGTGAATGAGAGGTCTATTCTGTATGATTAGTAGAGTTACATGTTTCCTTCCAGGATTCTGGACTTCAGTTCTGCTAAGGAAAAGATTGGATCTGGCCCTGAAAAACAGGGTGAAGCTCCTTATATGCTCACTCTCCCTCCTTCCTGTCTTCCCTCTCAAAACAGCTGGAGTCCACCATTGCAATCCTAGGCTAATTTTGCAAATAAACTCAATGGAAAATTAAAATGATGTTCTCTTTAATTGGTTATAAAATGAAATGCAGCCCTGCGTGACACAAACCCATAGAATAAGCCATGCAAATTCAAATGAAAGACAGGAGGAAGGAGGATCTGGTTTTCCTAGCCTTAGGTCCCACTGTAGATCAGCTGGAAAGCAAATGCATCCAATAGGTCTGGCCTAGCATGCAACCTTCAGAAGAATATCCCCAATCCTCTTTAGTTTAATGTCCAACAAATGAGTTTGTTTGGATGTAAGACAATGTTGCAGCATTTTATCACTGCTATAGAACAAAGGAACTACTGTATATGCATGCCTCCAAATGTTGCTTAACAGTAACTTGCAACAGGTTTTCTACTGATACATTAAATATTGAAATTTAAACAAGTGTGCAATTTCTATCAATTGGAGAAAACATATGACATCATGGAAAAGCAAAGACCAACTTCAGAAGTGGGCAAAGCACAGGTACAAAGGAGAATATCTGAATATCTTTTTTAATAGTAATTTTATTAAAAATTACAACCACGATGATAGAAAAAGTCTAATACAAATTTAAAAAAATAAAAACTGGGAGTTGCAGCTAACAAAAAGAAAATAGAAAAAAAAGGAAAAATTAGAATATAGTAAAGAACAAGAAGTATTAAAGAAATTATTTTCCCATTCATTAAAATATGATTTTAGTAATTTTTCACCTCACTTAATATACAACAAATTTTGTCTTCTTCTCATATCCCATCTCTTATCTATTAAAAAAAGTCCTTTAAAACCTCATCATTTCTGTCTTGATCAGCAAAAGTCCATTAAGGGTTACTAGAAATAACATATATTTTAACTTGATCAAATAAACCAATTTGGCGTTCTCTCCTATTACTTTTAACAAACTTGATCTTTAGTGCTTTCAAATAAGTCCAGGAACTCAAATCATTTTTTCTTTGGTCCCTCTCACAAAATTCTTCACAACTTTAACAAGCCTCCTTTATAAATCCAGTAAAGGCAGATTATCCAAGTCATTCCTTTGGTTTGTTATTTGTATATCTCTTTTAATTATCAAGACATCAGCTAATTTCTTTTGTATAGCCAGACATAGCATCATTTTCAATATCTTTGTTGTAACCTGTCATTTTTAAATCACTTCAGATCAGTCTCTATCTCCTTTAGTAAAACTTGTTCATTTTCCATAACATCTTTAACCATAGTCTAGACCCCTCTCAGAGATAGGGCAATGATCATGTCACCGGCTAATCCTTTCAGTTCAGAATGACCTTCAATGGTGCCTCTGACATGAGTGGGATGAGGGACTTTCTAAAATCATAGTTTTGCTATTTATTCCAGAAAAAAATAAGTCCTTACGCTTGTATTTAAAACTTCTTTCAATAGGGATTGAAGGCTCACCCAGTGCTGTAAAACCTGTTGACCCAAAGCAGTTAACAAGCAATTGCCCCCCCTCAAAAAAAAAGATAAATAGAAAAGGAAGTATGAAAACCCAGTAGCCTTAAATGAGCCAACCATAGATTAAGCAAGATAGCTATTCCCCCAGACCCCTAAGCCCACTGGAGACCACTGTCTTGCAGTGGAACACAGGGACAACTATATGGGGCATTTGTGATTGGTCTCAGGACATCTCCTTGTCCAGAGAACAATTACAAAGAGCCAGTTTACTTGCTGAGTTCTTAATTTTGCTACAGTTGTCTTCAGTTCAGTATTTATCCCCTGGATTTCTGGGAGTGTCCAGATTTTAGTGCATAAAATGGATACTTTATAGCTCTAAAATGCTTCAGGGATACACACTGCCAATAAACAAACAAACAAACAAACAAACAAATCTTTGAATTCCATGGAGGGCCCAACAAAGGCAGTAAAATTTAATTTGGCCTTGCATGTTTCATATCGCATAAAATTAGGCATGAAGCACCTCTTCACCAATTCCCTGGCTAAAAAAAAATAAAAGAGTTGATCAATGCACAGTTAGAGTAGATATAGAAAGTCTATAGACGTCAGATAAAATGCCAAATTTTTGAGATGTAACAAAATCAGACCAAGATAAATCACTTCCGAATTCTTTCCATGTTTAATATATTATATAAGCAATAAAATTCAATTGAAAAACTGAAATCTTTTAGTTTAGAAAAAAAATACCATGTTTCCCCAAAAATAAGATCCTGTCTTACATTTTTTTGAACCCTGAAATAAGTGCTTGGCCTTATTGCAATGCGCTCAAAAGCCCAATTGGGCTTATTATCAGGGAATGTCTTATTTTGGGGGGGGAAAGGGTAATAAAATCCTACAATAGTGTGGTTGCATAAAAGTTCATACCTGTAAACTAATACTTTGTTAAGTATTTTGATTTTCTAATAGCATTCAATCTTTTGAAGCCTATCAGCATGGCACATCTTACCTTGGGAATCTTTGCCCACTCTTCCTTGCAGTAGTGCTCCAAATCAGTCAGATTGCGAGGGCAACTCCTGTGTAGAAGAGTTGCCCTCTTTAGATCAGCTCATAGATTTTCAATTGTATTTAGGTCAGGACTCTGCCTGGGCCATCCCAAAATTTTGATCTTCTTCTGGTGAAGCCATTCTTTTGTTGATTTGGAGGTGTGCTTTGGGCCATTGTGCTGAACGGGGATTTTGTGCTGAAATTGATAGATATTTGGAACTGTTAATAATTCCCTCCACCTTGAATAATGCACCAATTCCAGCTGAAGAAAAGCAGCTCAAAGCCCAAGGCTGCCACCACCACACTTCACTGTGGAAATGGGGTATTTAGATGACTTAGATGAGGGAATAGAAGGGGAACTCATTAAATTTGCAGATGTTACTAAGCTGGCAGGAATAGCCAACACCTTAGATGATAGGATCAAGATCAATATGAATCTTGACAGACGAACACTGGGCCCTATCTAACAAAATAAAATTCAATGTAGAGAAAAGTAAAGTCTTACATAGGCAAGAAAAACCAAAAGTACACATGTATATTGAGTAAAATCTGACTTAATAGCAGTAACTGTTAGAGGGATCTTGGAGTCTTCGTGGACAATCAATTAAATATGAGCCAGCTGTATGTGTTGGCAGCCAAAAAAGTCAACGTAATCCTAAATTGCATTAACAAAGGGATACAATCAAGATCAAGTGAGGTACTAATACCACTCTATAAAGCCTTAGTAAGATCACAACTAGAATACTGCATCCAGTTTTGGTCACCACACTATAAAAAAAGATGTTGAGACTCTAGAAAGAGTGCAGAGAAGAGCAACAAAGATGATTAGGGAACTGGAGGCTAAAACATATGAAGAACGGTTGCAGGAATTGGGTATGTCTAGTTTAAGGAAGCGAAGGGCCAGGGGACACATACCAGTGTTCCAATATTTGAGGGGCTGTCACAGACAGGAGGGGGTCAACATATTTTCCAAAGCACCTGAAAGCCAGACAAGGAATAATAGGTGGAAAGTGATCAAGGAGTGATTTAACCTAGAAATAAGGATAAATTTTCTGACAGAACAATCAACCAATGGAACAGCTTGCCTTCAGAAGTTATGGGTGTTTCATCGCTGGAAGCTTTCGAGAAGAGACTGGATAGCCATCTGTCAGAAATAGTATAGGGTCTCCTGCTTGAGCAGGGAGTTGCACTAGATGACCTACAAGGTCCCTTCCAACTCTGTTTCTATGCTATTCTATGCTATTCTATGCTATGCTATTCATTCACAGCAAACATGCTTTTTGTACCAAACACATTTTCCTACATGCTTTTTTCAGACAATGACACACATTTAACTGTGTTCCATGGCATAGCCAATGGTTTGTAATTTTTTTGTACCATTCTTTTAATTTATAACTTCCAACAATGAGATCTCTTTGCAAGCTACAGTTTTTGCTGTGAGAGACAACTGTCAGAAAAATCCTAGTAGAACAGCTGAACTTTACATGGATTTGATCAGACTGACTTTAATTGATGGCAGATATGTACTACTATTTAACAATCGTTTGAATATCATTGGTTAATTCTGAACACAGCCATATCCGTACTTATAACTGTGGGTGTGAACAAGGGGTGGGTTCTACTTACCTTTACTACCGGTTCGCAACGGGGCTGCGCGCGTTGTTTGCTCCGCTCACGTGCACATGCTTTTCTGCGCATGCGCAGAAGCGTTCTGATGATGTCTGGGTCAGTGGGCAGAGCCTCCTGCCAGTTTTACTACCAGTTCTATAGAATCCGTCTGAACCGGGGGCAACCCACCACTGGTGTGAACACCTATGCAGTTATTTTTGTTTTAATTTTTCCCACTAAACAATTTGCTTGTTTTTCAACCAAATTGTACAGCATATGTTATATTAAAGGTAGAAAAAAATCTGCATTTATTGTGTTCTGATTTTTTTATATCTCAAAAGCCTGACAACAGGGATATGTAGACTTCCTGTATCTATTGTAGATGCCCAGGTTAAAATGCAGTTTACCAGTTATTTTTCTAGCAGAAAAGTATGCCAGAATAAAATTGATTTCCTAGATTACTGAACTGTATTTTGCCTCACCATAGATTAACATTTTTAAAGTCGGTAATCTCCAGGAAGATTCCCCTGACCTTGTTTACCACCAGCCAAAGAAGCACAAATTGCCCTTAGAAAAGCTGTTAAGATCTATGTTTTCTCTCTGTAGAGTAGAGTTCCCTTTTTGGTTATTTGTCATGCTCAATTGCCATTTTATATTGCTCTATTAATGCTATGTGGTTATTATTTCTCTAATTATTATTTGTTTTTGTTGGACACTCTGAAGAATCAAATTAGTATCAGTTGGGTGAGTTTAGGACTCTATAAGTCATAAACAAACAAACAAATAAACAGCTCCCCTTAATGTGAGGTAGCCCAGAAGAAAAATGCAGGTTTGGTCATCCATCAAATTGTCTGCTTAAGGCATGCACGTTGCAGACTAGACGCGGTAAGGTAATGAAAGGGGCGTGGACCAAGATGGCGGCCTAGCGTGCGTGGCCCGTCAGTCGGTGCTTGTGCGCTCGAGGGCAGCCCTTGCGTCGTACTGAGCCTCTAAGCGGCGCCGGTGCCCGAAAGGCGGAGGCCGTGCGACGCTGCTGCTGCTGCTGCTGGATCCCGAGAGCGACAAGCGGCAGGGCCGCAAGGAGACGGCGGAGCTGCTGCCGGCGCCTCAGGGAGGTGGCGGCTCCGCGCAGAGCGGGCCTCGTTTTCCGCCGCGTAGCGCTGCTCGCCGCCGCCGCCGCTGGCCAGGATGCCCACCAGCATCAAGATCTCCACCATCCGCTCACACCGGGACCTGTCGCGGAAGATCGCTGACCGTTTGAGCCTCGAGCTGGGCAAGGTCGTCACCAAGAAGTTCTCCAACCGGGAGATCTGAGTGGAGATCGGCGAGAGCGTCCACGGCGAGGATGTCTGCATCATGCAGAGCGGCTGCGAGGAGATCAACGGCAACCTGATGAAGCTGCTGATGGTGATCAACGCCTGCCAAGATCGCCTCGGACAGCCGCGTCACGGCCGTCAAACCTCGTAGGCGCGCCAGGACAAGGAGGACAAGACAGCCGGCCCGGATCTCTGGCAAACTGGTGGCCAACACTCTTTCCATTCCTGGCACAGAACACACCATCGCGGTGGACCTCCAGCCTCTCAGAGCCAGAGTTTCTTTGATATCCTGTGAACAACCTGTATGCTGAGTCAGGTGTCCTAAAGTGGATCAAGGAGAACATTGTTGAATGGAAACGCTGCACCATTATCTCTCCTGATACTGGGTCAGCCAAAAGAGTGACCTGTATTGATTAGCTGATTATGGACTTTGCCCTCATTCATAAAGAGAGGAAGAAGGCCAGGAGGTGGATTGCATGGTGCTGTGAAGGAACAGATGGCCACCCTTGTGGATGAAATGGCATACACCATCCTGCTGACAAACTGCTTACAGCTGGCACTACCAAAGTTTATGCCAACCTGATTCATGGGAATCAAAAAATGGCTGGCCCTCTTTTCTGGGCCAGCCATTTCCCGAATCAACCATGCCTGCTTTGAAGCAGTTGTAGTCACAAACACAATCCCCCAGAAAGATAACATGAAACACTGCTCTAAAATCCAGGGGATCGAAATCTCCATGATTCTGGCTGAACCCATCAAGCAGACTCACAATGTGGAATCTGTCCCTTACCTCTTCAGTCATGTCCCTTTACAACTATAGATGCTGCTGCTTGGGTGGCTTTTTGAAAACAATTTGTTTCAAATTCAATTAAAAAGTTATTTTTTAGACATATATACTGCTTCATAATGCTTTAAGCAGTTTACAGAATCAGCATATTGCCCCCAATAATGTGAGTCCTCATATTACCGACCTCAGAAGGATGGAAGGCTGAATCAATCTTGCACCGATCAGCAGCCAATTCCTGGCACTGAGCAGTGAGTTAGCCTGCAAAACTGCATACTAACCACTGGGACAGGGCAGCACTTTTTTAATTATCTGATTAAAACTTGGGGACTCAGAGATTTCTTATGCCTATCATCTGTCAGTCAGGCCATTCTGAGCATACACTCAGCATGTATTCAGAAATAAACTGCATTGGATTATGAATTCAGAAGAGCAAGTTAGGATGAAGTGGAAGGGAGGTATTCTGACATACAGGTAGTCCTCAACAACAGTTCACTTAGTGACCATTCAAAGTTACAATGGCACTGAAAAAAGTGACATGACCATTTTTCATACAACCATTCCAGCACCTCCATGGTCACATGATCAAAATTCAGATTTTGGCAACTGATTCATATTTATGACAGTTGCAATGTCCCAGAGTCATATGATCCCTTTTTGCAACCTTCTGACAAGCAAAGTCAATGGGAAGCCTGATTTACTTAACAACCAGGTTACTTACTTAACAACTTGTGATTCACTTAACAACTGTGGCAAGAAAAGGCATAAAATGGGGCAAAATTCACTTAATAACTTTCTCACTTAGCAACAGAAATTTTGGGCTCAATTGTGGTTGTAAGTCAAGACTACCTGTATTGAGTTAGGTATAGTTAGCTGGGCTATTTGTAGATAAAGGTTTCACATTTTTTTAGAAAAGCAGTACACTTATGTTTGGAATAGCCCGTCTGACAGAGGAACAGAGAAGGGATTGCAAGGAGCATTTGTGATGCTTTGGTCCATTTCTCCACTTGAAATGGGTATGAAGTAAAGTGGGAGGAAGAACTCAACAAATGCTCTATTGTAGAATACTGCAAGGTAATGGCAGTGCTCTCAGAGTGTGGTCATAGTTGGCAATCCCTAAAAGTTTATGGAGTAGGCAAAATAGCAATATGTGACTGGCAAAATCAGCTCTTTCCTGGTTTAAATTAACTTTCATTATAGCCTAGAAGATGCATCGTCTCAGGGGAAAGCTGATTCTGATCAGGTATTATATAGGCAGATTCCTCTGTGGAAGCCAGTTCCTTGGCCCCTCTTGGCCCAAAGCATAATAATGGGGAAAGCCCAGCACATGGCGGATAGAAGGCAGCTCACAGGGGCACGAGGAGCTGGCCAGAAAGCAGCCTTGACTGTGTCATAAGTCACATCATAGGTGAACTATGCTAGATCATATTCAGGGCAAAAACATCAGGAGAAAAAGGAAAACACTACTTTAAAACTGCATTAATGCCTAAAGAAGACTTGCAGCTGTGCACTGGGGATAAAAGAAAGGCAAGGTTATGAGGAAATAACATTAATAAAAACCACACAATTACCAGATAATGTTCTTAGAATTTGAGAATGAGTCCTCAGTCTGTACAATTTAATTCAATTTTAAATATCTCTTCAAGTTAAAATCATAGAGCACTGACAGAATCCTCCGTAGCTGACCTGATAGAGAAATTTGAACATTGCACTAAAAGCACAAGAAGATATTCTCAATTTTCTTTAATATTCTCAGCTATCCTAATATTAAGCACAACCGAATAAATTGAAGGATGAATAACTGTTCACCTATGCGTTAAGTGAAAATAAATAGTGGAATGTACAACAGAATATCCATTGATCAATATCATCCTACAAACTGCAAAACACATAAAATATCTCTATGCAAAAGTTTAAAAGAAATTGCTCCCTTCTCCCTCCTTGGGTGGGTTGGCATAGATGTCATCCACTGTTCGCAGACTGAAGAAAGATACTGCTTAGAACTGCCGGACTTAAGGGCAACCTAAGTCCTCGGTTTTCCATTGAAATGATCCTTCCATGACAGAATAAGCGAACGGGAAGTCTGTAGGGGTAACCAGGGCAGCTTGGTCCCCCGCTACACTGAAAGGCATTTCAAGGCGCGTCGCGCAGAGACTTTCGCAACCAGCCATTCTGCTCGGCAACTTTTCCTGACGTCCCTGCCTCTCTTTCTCTTCCTCGATTTACCTGCGGGCTTCTATGCTGGCAAAGCGTGTATTTGGCTGCTCGGTCGCCTTTGTGGACGGTCGCGGGAGGCCTCTCCCTCCAGCATGGAGGAAGGGAACTCCCTTGGAGGGGAAAAAACCGCCGCCGACCTTCAGCCTCGCTTCCTGGAGGGACGGCCTCTCTTCCTGCGTTTATTCATTGAAGCCGCTCGAGGGGTCAGCAGCCCTCGAGGTCTGGAAAGCGGGGACGGGGGTGGGGGGGGGGAGTCTCGGTTGCCAGGCGCTCCCTGCAGGCTCTGAGCACCTCCACGAAGGGAAGAGGGAAGAGAGACCTCCCGGCGGGTGTGCGCAGGCGCGCGCGTCGGGTCAGGCTGCGGCTGTCAGCGGTGATGGGTGCCAGAGACAGGCGCTACTGTGGGGCAGATTGAGTTTCTCAAACGAAACCTCGCGCCCTGCCCCTGCCGCCGCCGCCGCCGCCGCCCTCCTCTCTCCAGTAGCGACGCCCTTCCAAACCAACAGCGAAGAAACCAAGGAAAAAACCCTCCAATCGGCCACAGATTCTGAGGCGGAGACCCCGGGAGGGGAAAGGTGAAGCCCAGGAGCGTTCTGTGACCCGCCCCACCTCCCGCCAGTCTCTCTCGGAGCCTCTCGGCGGTTCCACACCCTTTGCTCAGCGGTCGGCGGGAAGAAAAGGGAGGAGACGGTAGGTCACCGGCTGCAGACTAGGACGCGAGAGGAGGGGGCGCTTTTCTTGGGTCGCGGACACTGCAGAGCTTCCTCTCTCCCACCGCCATCCGCTGCAAACTTTCCACCCCCGAATCCCATTTGGGAAGGTTGAAAGGGCTTGGCCTGGAGGGTTGGGCAAAAAAGGAAAAGGAGCCCCTGACGGAGGCCAGGGAGATTTCTTGGCCCGTTGGCTCCCAAGGGAAGAGGAGAAAAACGCGGCGTCCCAGTGAAGCCTGAGTTCGAATTCAGCCTCTTCTAGCCCCGTTACATAGGGAGAAGGGTAGCGCTGGCCTCTGGCCCAGGGAACTCCCACCCCACCCACTGAATCTGAGGTCTCGAGAAGAGAGAGTAGGTTGGGATTTGGATCAGTTGATGCCCCCCCTCACCAAAGATATCAAAGATATTAGATTTAGCTTGGATGAGTTTTACCACAAAAACAATTGGCTAATTAAATCAGAATCCTGGGTGCAGATCTCCAGTCCAGTCCTCTGTTTCCTCAGCTCTAGACTTCAGCAAACTCTAACTTTGTACAAAAAGGGTATGGTCTAAATGCCGCCCACAGCTTTTTTCCTTCAATCCCTGGTACAGTGGTTCTAGACATTTTCACTCTAAATTTATCACAGATTTGTGTTGTGATCTGGGTCCATAATAGCTGGTGTTTCAAGGGCTTAATAAAACGCAGGCCCAAAGGATAGAAAGTCAGAAATCTGAAATGGAATTTGATTGCAGATATTTATTGGAATTAAATTTCTGATTGAAAAAGAATTATCTGGGGTTAAGCAGTGAATTAGGGTCAATTAAGTAAGATTTGGAAGAATTTGGGATGAGATATTTCCTTTCATGCGGTGCTGTAAAGTTTAGCATTTATAGCTACACTGATTAAAAAGCACCAAAACCAACACATAGTAATTAAAGTGTGTTGGATGACCTCTTTCCATCTATTCCCTTTCCCCAAAAAATTGTCTCTAAAAAAAGTTCCTGTCTAGTTTGTTGTTTTGTAATTTGCAGAGATCTATTCATAGCAGCAAGCATTAGGCTATTTATCTGAAAGGCTGTAGCTTCATGAAGGAATCTGTTTAGAATCTGTCTATGGGTATTGCACACCAATTCTATATATTTCTATTTGGAATATTTGTGTCTCATGCAATCAGGCTCTTTTAAAGTCACTAAATGTGATGCTATTCATTTCAAGTAAAAACTTATATTTACTTTTGAATCATAATCATAAAAAGCATTTTTCCTATCTCTCAAAATATAATTGGAGTACACTGAGTTACTTCTGTTGATGTATGAATGCAGTGTGTACTTTATACTTTTATCCAAAGTTAATCTATTATTTGCTACTAATGTATGTGTGTGTGCGTATGTGTATCTCCAATAAAGAATATTTTTATTCCTACTTAAAGGATCCAAGACATACAGACATGCAACATGGATTTGCATCTCCCCCCCCCTTTTGTTTCTTCTTCCAGTGCAGCAATTACAATAGTTGCCATGTAAAAGATAAACATTTCCATTTCCATTTTCTACTTCCATCACACCAACCATCTTTGCCACCTTCCTTTCTTTGATGTCTGTGTTCATTTTGGAAAGCTAGGCAGCTCCACAGGCTCCAGATGCAACCCTGCTGTTTATTTTTAAATGTTAATGTATATTTAAACATTATCTAAAAGTTGTAAACCACACAGAGTAAATTGATTGAGATGAATGAATATATAAATATAGGAAATATGAGTAAAAATAAAATAAATGAAATATTTTTATATTTTACAATAAACACCCTACAGCCAGCTCCCCAAACCAAACTGGTGCCTTCCAGTTACTATGTACTATAGGCCCTATCATTTCATTTTGTTGTCAACATTATCTTCAGCATGTTACAGGGGATAATGGGCACTGCAATCCAAGGCACTTGGAGACCATCACCTTGTGGAAAGGCTGACTTAGATTATGTGACCTGGCTTGGCTATTCCTGCATGCTAGAATGCTGTCTCTGCCCAGTCATTTCTCTGATTTGCATACCTGAAAACTGGGCCCAAAATTAAATAGCCTTCTTCCAAGCAGAAATTATCCGAGTTGACTAGATCCAGATGGAAAGACGCATCATCAACAGCAATGATGAAAATTATTAATGATAGCAACAACTGGAATGATCTACTGAAACAATTTGTATTGTGCTAGATCTTAATAAAATTTGCTCAGGTTTTTGGTGGAATCCTGTCAAAGATACCACATTCTTCTAGCATAAACTGCCTTTTTCTGGCATCATTCATTTAGAGGCCAAGGACCAATACAAATGGATCTTCCTCCCCCTCCTTGTGCTGAATAGCTTATTTGTATTCTAACCATAATTAAAGTGTTTATTTTTGTGATATTGGTGCTTAAATCCAAGTCCTATTGTTGGCCTGCAAATACTTTATAAAGGCAATCAATAAGAAAGTCTACCTAATCCTAGATAGTGCTTTAGCTAGGTGAATTGCCAAGTAACCGAAATTTCAAACAGGTAGTTAAACACCTTAGAGAACCCAGGGAGATTTATTTTCGAATGAAGTATGCAGCAGCTCTAGAAGGAAAGCCATATTCTCTGCATCTCTACTGCGATTCAGCGGAAATCCCAGCGAGTTGCATGGGACCTGGCGGTTGCAGTCGGCTTCAAACTTGGTCCTGCGGTCTACAGGCAGAAGCAGAAGAGGTTAGAAGCCAAGCCTTGGCCGCTTGTTCTCGGAGAAGGCCAATTGCACGGGATTTCACGTGTTGCAACACAATTAACTTTTCGAAGACTGTAGCAAAGTGAGGAGCGGTGGAAACAGGTTTGTTCGGATTGGCTTCTCCCCGCGAGAAAAATGAGAAAACTCCCAAGACGCTGCTATTCCCAGCTGCCCCACTTAATAGCAGCAGCAGCAGAGAGCAGGGTGGAAGGGCAGTCCGTGGGACTTGCCCTTCCTTCTGTGAAATGGTTTCGCCAATCCTCGTATCAAGCTCCATATTCTAGAGCAGTGTTTCTCAACCTTGGAAGCTTGAAGATGGGTGGACTTCAACTCCCAGAATCCCCCAGCCAGCGTTGCTGGCTGGGGGATTCTGGGAGTTGAAGTCCACCCATCTTCAACCTACCAAGGTTGAGAAACACTGTTCTAGAGGGATTTCAGGCCCTTCTGCTGACAGATCCTTCCGGGCGTGGTATTAGGCTAGAAAAAGACATACAGAACCCAAGGTAGCTTGAGAATAGCCCTTTCCTATGCTAGAACTCGACTCGTGCACCTTGTAAAGAGCAGACAAATGGAAGGCTTAATGAGCAATAGCAAGGACACACAAGCAAGCCCAGATCCAGAACCACGCCTGCATCCCTGGCGTCTGGGAATTGGGTGGGCTCTGCCTTTTCCGGGCCTCTGGTCAATAAGAGCTATTTCATTCCAGACGACTGACCGCCTTTGACTTTTGCCTCCCCCCGCTCACTCACTCACTCACTCTTTTTAAAGAGCGCTTGTTTTTAATGCTGACCCTGGGCTAGTTCACTAAGTCTCCTGTTGGGAGCAGTTAGTTGCGACTGCATTAGCCGGGCAGGACCTCCCAAGTGGCTGCGGCCGGCGTGTCAGCGAACAGGGACGACTCTGCACAGCGTAAAGTCTCGTCGTCCTCAAGTTGCTGGAAGCGGGAGTCGACGGGCTCCGCGGCGGCGGCTGTGGGGGCCAGAGTCGTAAACAAAGTGGAGCCTTCCTCGCTGCCCCCCAAACCTCAGTGCAGAGATTCCCCCCTCAGCTCGCCTCCGCAGACTCACATTTGGGAGACCACCTTCCAGAAAAAATCACCAGTTTAGGTTTCTCTGCCCCGTCCTCAATGGTGTGCTGAGGGTTTGAGCAAAGTGCTGGTAACTAACATGAACATTTCTTTTTCTTTTCACTCCCCCCCACCTCCACCTTTTAGTTTTCTTTGCCCGTTTCCTCTCTGAGAAAGCTTTTGGCCAGGGCTCCCGTCTTCAACGAGGCCCTTCCTTCCCTTTCCAGGCAAACGCATTGAGTTCTTTCAAATCCACTTGTTGAGATGGAGAACTTTTCAGGGTTAAGGGGACTGCTAGCTCAGCAGATGAAGAATTACAGAACGAGTCACCTCAATAAGTTTCACCCGGGGAACTTCGTGGCCCTAGGATGGCAGCCCAAGACCCCACCGAGCAAAGCTGTTTCCTCCAGAAAGAAACGTGCCCACGAATGACAGACGTTCGCTTGAAATCATCTTGTCGCCCCTTGGTTCTGCTAGCCAAGGGGTCCGAGTGCTCCGAGACCAGAGGCTACTTTCCCAGGGACTGAATTTACGAAGGGCGTTGACCGAGTGACCGAGAGCCAGTTCTTTCTTTTCGAAAGAATACATGGCTACAGCACTAAGACGATTTCAGAAGCCGATCCCAAAGCCCGGAGAGGTGCCTTGAAATCCCCCCAACTTCTAGCTCTGCTGATATTTAGTCCAAGCTCTAGGGGCGGTTTAAAGGATTAATTCAAGTCGAACCTGGAATCTATTTTCCGCGCTGTTAATAGCAATAGCACTTAGACTTATATACCGCTTCACAGTGCTTTCCAGCCCTCTCTTAGCGGTTTACAGAGTCAGCATATTGCCCCCAACAATCTGGGTCCTCATTTTACCCACTTCTGAAGGGTCTAGGACTTTTAGACTCTCTCTTCATTGTCCTGGGGCGATTCTCCCCCGATTTATCTCCTCAGCTGGCAGGCCTCCAGTCATATGCCATGGGGAATGGGCCACCGGCCTCTTCATCGCAGACCCTTCCACACGGCCCATTCGCAGAAAGAAGGTTCGTCCTGGGTGTTCCGCCCTCTGTGACAATTAGCCCCCAACCAATTGGCTAGAGGGAATGTAATAGAAATCCAGCCAAAGGAGAGGTGTAGAAGAATCTGCCAAAATGCCTTCCTTCCTTCCTCTCCCCCACCCCCACCAATACAGGAACAGTTGGTTTACTCAGAAGTAAGTCTCACTAAATTCAATACTAGGATTTAAATCCAGCGAAAGGAGAGAGATGTAAAAGAATTTGCCAAAATGCCTGACTTCCTTCCTTCCTCCCTCTCCCCCCCCCCAATAGAGGGACACTGTTACTGAGCGGGCTAAAAGCCTCCCTCCCTCCCTTCCTTCAACCAGTTAGTTAACCAAGTCTGAAAGGGTCCAATAGAAGAGAATTTTTCCTTCCTTCCTTCCTTCCTTCCTTCCTTCCTTCCTTCCTTCCTTCTTTCCTTCCTTCCTTTTTCCATCCATCCATCCATCTACCCATCATAACAGCATAACATGGCAACTAGCCATGATGTAATCAAAAGGTGGCCATAGTCTGTATAAAACATCTTTATTTCTAAATAAAAGGGTTGGATTTCAGTTATCTTTTAAGCAAAGTGTTTTGTACTGCAATTTTTGAACTTCCAGCTATTGGTTGAGTTTCCCTTTTCTCAAATTGTTGGCTCGTTTTACTATATAAATTTATCTGTTTATTTAAAGATAATTTAAATATTAACATATTTAATATTTGCAGGAACTGGGCATGTCTAGTCTAGTGAAGAGAAGGACCAGGGGAGACATGATAGCTATCTTCCAATACTTGAGGGTCTGCCTCAGAGAGGAGGGGGTCAAGCTGTTTTCCAAAGCACCTGAAGGCCAGAAGGAATAATGGATGGAAACTGACCAAGGAGAGATTCAACCTAGAAATGAGGAGGAACTTTCTGACAGTGAGAACAATCAACCAATGGAACAGAAGTTGCCTTCGGAAGTTGTGGGAGCTTCGTCACCTGAGACTTTCAAGAAAAGATTGGACTGCCATTTGTCAGAAATGGTGTAGGGTCTCCTGCTTGAGCGGGGTGGGGTGGGGGTTTGGACTAGATGACCTATAAGGTCCCTTCCAACTCTGTTAATCTGTTTAAAATATCATGAATGAGATTTACCCATCAAAATTGATCAATTGAGAATAAAGATGGTCCTGTTGGACGGTTTCTTTTAATGTTCTGTGAAACAGAATTATTGAAGTAAATCTCTTACCTTTTCCCAAAACTTCCAAATAATCTCCACCTGCTGAAATAATCTGTTACTAGTTTTAAGTGGATTTCTGTAAGATGTTTAAAATAAGGAAGCAAATGTCTTAAAAACTCTTCTGTTATGATTGGAGGGGGGGGTGTCCCTGGACAGCTACAAAACAACACCATCCTTTACCTGCCATTCCTTTGATTTAAAACCTAATTTTGATATGTAATATGGGACAAAGTAGAAATATTAAACAAATTGAATTGGAAGAAGATCCCAGAAACACCTGAAAGTCAACGTATCAAAGACAGGGTGAAATATTTAAGTCATAAACACTCAGAAATACCTCACAGATTTAGGAGTTCCATGGATGGAAATGCAACTGAGATCTGAATCACTGTACAAACCTTTGAGGGTTTATTGATCAAAAATTAACCAGTCCAGTATAAGTCAAGGTTCACACAGGTCTCTCTTTTATTACCTCTGAACTAAATTAATTTGGAAGGAAATCCTTACAATTTTATACGTATGAGTTTATTTAAAAATATTCTGGCACATTCTTTGAAAATATCAATAGGATTACTATATTAATTGTAAATACTAAAGAATTCATCTGATTCTAATTTGGCATAGGAGATATAATAATGAACATTTTATTTTCCAACCGTGTGTGTGGATAAAAATATATTTTAAAAAGGTTGAGGATCTGAGTCAGAGACCATAAAGAACACTGTTTTGTGCAGTGAGGTGGCTGAGGATGAAATGTTTTTCTTTCTAAATTAAATATTTCACCTCATCCTAAACAATTTAACAAGAATCTCTCCAATTTAGAATTAAATGTTGGAAATTACATTCAGCTGCCCCTTTTGGTTTAATTTTGAAATTCCGGGCTGAACTTCTAAGCTGGAATCCATCTGTGCCACTTCAGCCTCTAGGTTGTGAAACAGGACCAGGCAAAGAACGAACGAACCCACTGCAGAAAAGGAAAGAAGGGAAGGTAGCGCTTCTGGTTTCTCTCCATTTACACCTGAAAGAAGGGGCTACCCAACCGCAACTGCAAACAGAACATTTCCAGACATACAGAATCATAGTGTATGATGGTTGGGCAAGACAATCCCATCTATGAAGATTTTCCTGTATCCTAAGTATCCCTATTGGAAGTTAGGGCCCATTTGTTTACAGCAACTTGGGTCCAATAAGAGCAAATGGAATTGAAGCTTCATGGGATAATGAGCAGGAGACCTGCAGCCATCCAGCTGTGGGTATACTGCAGCGGTCCTGAACAGTGTGCTCAGTGGTGAGGTGTAATGACAGTTAAGTTTCAGCAGTTTTTAGTGCTTCTACTGCCCTAGATAATAACAGGGAATGAGGTTTACTGATAGTCCTCAACTTATAACCATAATTGGGAATAGAATTTCTGTTGCTAAACAAGGCAGTTGTTAAGTGAGTGTAGCACCTGATTTTACAACCTTTTATTTGGTTGGTTGTTAAGCAAATCACCACAGTTGTTAAGTGAATCATGTGTTCATTAAGCAAATCCCATTGAATTTGCTCATTGGAAGCTGACTGGGAAGGTGACCCTGCGGCCCCTGCAACCATTGTAAATACATGCTGTCAAGCGCTCAGATTTTGAGCACATGACTGTGGGGATACTGCAATTGTTGTAAGTCAAGGACTGGTCATAAGTCACTTTTTTCAGTGCTGTTGTAACTTTGAATGGTCACTAAACAAATGATTGTAAGTCAAGGAGTAACTGTACCTTATCTTTTTGGTTATTGTCAAATCTCTCTCGCCTAACATTAATATTTCAGTATCACTTGGTTGTGTGCCAAGTAGTCCAGGATCACTATACAGAATAACAGAGCTGGAAGTGACTTTGGAGGTCTTCTAGTCCAATTCCTGCTCAAGGGGGAGACCCTATACTATAGTATTTTGGACAAGTGGCTGCCCAATCTTTTCTTAAAAGCCTCCAGTGATGAAGCACTCACAACTTCTGAAGGCAAACCGTTCCAGTGGTTAATTGTCGTCACTGTTAGGAAGTTTCTTGTCAGCTCTAGGTTGCTTCTCTCCTTGATTGTTTCTTCTATTTTGGTGCTTTGGAAAGTAGGTTGACCCCTTTCTTCAGATGGGTAGCTATAGAAATCAATCATCAAATAAAGAAATAAAGAAATTCAGCCTTTGTGCCTAAGGAAGAAAATTCAAATCTCCCCCCTCCCTGAATAGATGAATATTTTAATATATTCTTTTAGAAAACCAAATGCTTTCTTATTTTTGGCAGAGCTAGAAAGCCTGACAGATTAATTTCCAAAATATTTTTTTTTCTTCAATAAACAGGAAGCCTCATGAGATCCATGGCACATAGATTTCTGTGGCCTGATTTGAGACCAGTGCACTGTTGAATCCGCTGTGTCTGCTTTGATCTGGAGCTTCAGCTATAGGGATCAGAAGGAATTATTTCTGACAAACTCCACCAAGGATGCTGAGTTTCAGACTTCCCTCCCTTCTGTCTCTTCCATTCACCCCTTTATCACTCTCCTCTGAGATTATGTTACTTAGCAAATTTTTCCAGAATGATTTTTAGGTGTGGTCATTGGGGCCATTATTGTAACTGACTATCACACTGATTTTATATTTAGTAATATTCTTAATTTTATTTCCACAACTGTGTTGGTTACAACAGCCCTCATCACTAGGCAATCCAACATCATCTGAGGGTAATGGGAAAGCAATAATTTCTTAAATCAATTAAAAATCTACACAACAGCTGCAAGAGTTAGAATTTCCAAAGAATTTACCTTAGACTATTACACAGTCTTTCTATCCTTTCTTTATTGAAACTGAGATAAAAGTACTGACCTCAGCATGCCTGATAGGCAGTATACTTTCTCTGTTTCATAGATATATTTTACCTAGTGCCAATTATAGAGGCAAATGATCATAACTGGTGAATAAATTACTTCGTATATGCCCTAGCATGCTTTTTTTTTTTTTTTTTTTGCTATTTCTATACCTTCCATAGGTGTTTGGTCTACCAGTCAGAACAGATTACAAATCAAAGCCCTGATTCAAATAAAGTATGTGAGGAAATGAGTTTAAGAATATAGAGCTGCAAAATATATATTGTGAATTATTCTCCAAACTCTTGAATGACTTTCTGACCAAAAGGTGAGAAATCAAAGTTAGTAGAAATTTGTGAAACAAACATTCCTGATTCAAAGCTGGTTAAAAAGAGTTCCCCGTGAAGTTCATTCTGGCTACTGTAACTGAATCTCGGGATTTAAAACCATTCACAAGAGCAAACACATTTAGTTAAATGCTAAGTCCTTTCATGTCTGAAATAACTTCAGTGACCTGATTAGAGATTGTGCTGGCTTTAGGAAATAGATCACTTGAATATATCTATAACAATTCAGCAACAACAACAAAAACAAGAAAAATAGATGTAGGAAGATATGGAATATTAATTCTGGCAGCTTTGGGATTGGTTACAAGACGTCTCTTGAAGTTCATTGTGTGAAACCAAATAGAAACAGAACAGCCTCAGGTTTCCTGCTAACATTTCCACTCTTACAGTTTATGCTGTTTCACAAATTGTTGATCTTTTGAAACCCAACATTTAAATCTATCATTCTGGATTATTTGAAAACCTCTGAAGCAGGGGTGTCAAACTCATGGTCAGCGGTCTGGATGCGTCACGTACTGGCCACGTCTACCCCGTTTTAACAAAGTGGGAAAAAGTGATATGTCATGTGATGACAACGTGATGCGACAAGTTTGATGCCCCTGGTCTAAAACCACTGGATATCTGAGACCTTCTTACATACCTAGACATACATTTGCTCAATCCGTAAAGTATTTAGATTTATATTCTCAGATTGGAAATCTTGTACCTGGCATTTTAAGGGTTGAAAGAGACTTTCTGTTACATAAATTCTCTGTGTGCTGTGGGCTACACACTTATCCAATATGTGGAGTGTTACATTAAGAGGAAATTAAAAATAAATGTAAATGTAAATATAGAGATAGAATGAAGAATATGACTGATTTATAAGTAATACCTGTGAAACAAATTTATTGGAATTGTAAGTTTATTGAAGGGATGCGGTGGCTCAGTGGCTAAGATGCTGAGCTTGTCGATCGAAAGGTCAGCAGTTCAGCAGTTTGAATCCTAGTGCCGCATAACAGGGTTAGCTCCTGTTACTTGTTCCAGCTTCTGCCAACCTAGCAGTTTGAAAGCACATAAAAAATGCAAGTAGAAAAATAGGGACCACCTTTGGTGGGAAGGTAACAGTGTTCCGTGCGCCTTTGGCGTTTAGTCATGCCAGCCACATGACCATGGAGACGTCTTCAGACAGCACTGGTTCTTCGGCTTTGAAACGGAGATGAGCACCACCCCCTAGTGTCAGGAACGACTAGCACATATGGACACAGGGAACCTTTACCTTTACCTTTAAGTTTATTGAATGCTAAATAAAAGCAGAAGTATTATCTGATTTAAAATGGTATTTGCAGTTTTAGTTGCATAAATCAAAGTGTAATTTCCAAATTAAGGGAACTACTTTTTTGCTTTTTTTTGCTATGGTCATCTGGAGTATGATTGTAGAAGAATGCTAGAAACATAGTATTTTAAAAATGATTTGGAGAAAAAATTTGAACAGGTACAGAAAAACTAGCAATGGCTGGAAAACTGAGAAATGGAGGCATTTAACTTAGACAAGAGATGTCAAGACAGCATATATGTACTTTTCAAGTAACCTAACCTTACAGACTTCTAGCCACTAGAGACTCTTTCTCAGTTGGGGTTTATAGCATTCCTCTACAATAAATCCCAGCAGCCCTTGGGTAAAAATGGCTATCTTTTTCTAATCTTCATGCTTCCTTTCTAGAACTCTTTGGGTTTCAGTTAGCTCTACTGTATTTCATTGCATTAACTCACCAATAGCCTGAAATAGTGCCCATTATTTGATTCCACAGTTGCCA